GATAGTAGAAAGTATACATCGTGAAAACAAATATTGTGTTTTGCTGGGTGACTTTAATTTAGATCTCCGTAAGTTTGAATCACATCCTGATACAGACAGATTTCTTAGTACTCTGGGCACATTTTATTTTCAGCCCCAAATTCTGCAGCCAACCAGAATTACAGATCACTCCGCGACTCTTATTGACAATATATTCTTTAATTCTCTTGAGCATTTTGTGATCAGCGGTAATTTATGTTATGATCTTACTGACCATCTACCTAATTTTCTTATTGTCAGTAAATTATCTTCTCTTCCAGCCAGCACTAAAGTTTTCAGATGAGATTATTCAAACTTAGACAGGGAAACCTTGATTAGTGATTTTCAATCTATAGACTGGAATAGTTTGCTTAAAAAATCTTCTGACCCCAGCAATATGTTTGATAATTTTTATATTAAGTTATCAGAGGTTGTTGATCTACATGTACCTGTCAAGCAATTATCTAAACAAGATCTCAAAGCTCAATCAAAGCCATGGATTACTTCTGGAATTAGAACCTCCATTAGAATAAAAAATGGCTTATTCAAGAAATTCCTCAAGACAAAATCTATCTACTATCATACAAAATTTAAAATTTACAGGAATAAATTGAATCATTTAATTAAACTAGCTAGGAAAAATTATTATTACAATAATAATTTTTTCTCAGTTCATGAGAATAATGGTAAACGAATCTGGTATGAAATTAAACAAATTGTTAAGGTTAAAACCCACATCAATCAACCTGTCAATAAAATAGTGGTAGATAATTGTGAAATAATTGACCAAGAATCAATAGCCAATGCTTTTAATGAATTTTTTGCTAATATAGGTAGTAATCTTGCTAGCTCCATTCCTAGTGCTACTCAAACTGCTAGGGAGTTCATGTCACCTCCTATTTGTGATAGTTTGTTTTTAGCTCCATTGACTGCAAATGAAATTGAAGTGGAAATAGCCAAACTTAATGCTAGTAAAGCTGTGGGTCCTTTCAGCATTCCTATTGATATTCTTAAGATTCTTATGGGTGAATTATCAGGTCCTTTACAGACTATATTTAATACATCTTTTCTTACTGGAATTGTCCCTGAGAAATTTAAGATGGCTAGAGTAATCCCAATTTTTAAGAAAGGATCTCAGACAAGCTTAAATAATTATGGACCCATTTCTCTACTCTCTGTTTTTAATAAATTGTTAGAAAAGCTTATGTACAAGCGGATAATTGACTTTCTTAACAAGAGACAACTTATTTATGGTAAACAGTTTGGATTTCGCTCTCACTACTCAACTGATCATGCAGTTCTTAGTATTATTGACCAAGTGCAATTAGCCATTGAAGACCATGACTATTCTTGTGGAATATTCCTAGACTTTAGCAAAGCTTTTGATACTGTTAATCACCAAATTTTCCTAAAAAAAACCTGACTATTATGGTATCAGAGGTGTTGTTAAGACCTGGTTTATTTCATATTCAAGTAATAGATCTCAGTTTGTTTTTCTTGGTGCTATCACTTGAGACACTCAGACAGTCTCCTGTGGTGTGCCCCAAGGGTCAGTGCTTGGACCACTTTTATTCCTAATCTATGTAAATGATTTTCATAATTGTTATTATTCTTTCAACATAGGTATATAAAGATGCTTGAAAGTTTGATTAATTCTGAACTTGAGAAAGTTCTTACTTGGCTATGTGCAAATAAGCTTTCATTAAATATTGATAAGTCAAACTTTGCTATTCTCCATCCAATTCAAAGAAAATTGCCCAAACAGGTCATGTTATCTATAAACAATCAGATGTTGACCCAGGAAACTTTCATTAGATACCTTGGAGTTTACATAGATTACAATATTAGTTGGAAGATGCACATTACTAATATTTCTAAAAAAAATCAAGAGAAGTATAGGCATTCTTTCTAAATTAAGTTATTTCTTAAGTACTAAAACATTACTTAGCCTGTACTATGCTCTGGGGCATAAACGCTAGTACCGAGATCACGTCAGTGGTTTTCAGGGAAAACAAAATCAAAGTTTACTACTTGAACTGATTCTCAACGATACAAAGCAGTTTCATCAGTGACAAAAATGTTTTGCTGTTGACCGCAATCTGCCTAGCGCTCTGCAAACTTAAAAGAAATGGTAATAAGTTTTGTTTACAATACAAAATTTAAGGTTAAAACGACATATTTCAGATTCTACCAGAACCCGAATACTTAAACAACCTGCTCTAATGGTAATTTTAATTACAATCCAAAAGGCCGACAATTTTATTTATGGTTTGGCTGCAATCAGTACGCAGTAATAATCTCCTTCATCAGTATAATACTTCAACGGTTTAGAATTTTCTCCGCTTGTGTACAGAGCACAAAACCTTGACACCTTATCTCTTGTGGCTAGCTCTGAAACAAACCTGCCTTGATTAGTTGCCAAGATAAATGAGCACAAGCTTTCAACATTTTCGAACTCCTGATCCTCCATTTTGACGTCGACACTTTTTACGATTTCGAATCCTGCAGCCGAACACATCTCTTCCATGTTTGCCCTTCTCTCGTACCAACGTTTGCTTAGCATACGTTCCATGCTTTCTGAGTTTTGAAGTTCACGATAAATTTTATGGACGATGGAAGGTAAGCGATCGCCGTAAGTCAGGACAATTTTCCCTGCTGGTTTCAGGCTCCGAAACATGTTCTTGAATGCTTCTTCTTTATCCTTAATCCAGTGAAACACAAAGTTAGAGAAGATGACGTCGTAAGTCTCCAAGCCCATTCCTGGGAAGCTGGCAGAGCTTCCTTCATGAAATGTGAGATTTTTGACTTCCCTATGTGATTCTCGCGCCACTTCTACTCGATAACCGTCGGGATCAACTGCAACGACTCTTCCATCTTGTCCTACGAGCTCGGAAAGATACGCAGACAATTCTCCAGTGCCGCAGCCCAAATCTAGGATATGTCCTCGATGAATCTCTATATCGTCAATCAGCATTTTTCCATGCTCTCTTTGAAAAAGCGACACTTGCTGGTAACTCTTTGCAACATCTTTGGAGCTGGACATTTTGATTACTTGCTCAAGCTTAGGCGACTGAATCTTAGTAAAAGCGTACCTGTGTGAGGTTTACAAGGCCCCAAACCGGGAGTTACTACATCACGGGCGACGAGCGGGGATAGAAAAAACGACCCAAATATGAGCGGTCAGCTGTGAAACAGCTTTTATACTTCATATAGAGACATATAATTTGTTGTTCCAGAGACAATCGTGTTGGAGAGCCGAAATGTTAACAATTTACCTCACAGTTTAAGCAATTTTTCAAAAGTGTTGATTGAACTCATATCTTTTACTGCTTTAATAAACAATGGAGGCTTCGGAGAGGGAGTCAGTGGCATTTGGAAAGGCACCAAGAATAATTATATATATGGTTTGTAGCTAGCTGCATGACGTGCGTGACGAAAAAAAAGTATCATGATTTCCGGTTGTCAAAAATGTCAATCAAATTTGGCAGGAACTTGGTTTTCACACTGTAGTTTGCTTTTCCTGGAAGATTTTGCCATGGATGAAGATCAAAAGCCAACAATGTTAAGAGATTTAGAGATCGACTTTTTGAAAGAACATCTCAATGGCTTTTCTGTTGAAGGCAATTATTGTTTTGGATATTTCGAGGGAAACAGAGCAGAGATGGATGATCTGTTAGTTTCATTTCAGGCATTGAACTCCACGTGTTATGTACTTACAGAAAGCCATTCAAAAGAGAAAAACCACAACAGATTTTCTCAAACAGGTATATAATCTCTCAGTGTTTTAAAGTGCACAGATCCCGGTTTCCTATCCTGACTCTCCTAATTCAGGGATAATTTAATTGAGAAGAATCGCCGTCTTTCAGAGTTTATGGTAAATTTCTTCAAAGGCAGTCTTACGCGATTTGCGAGGAGCTGCGTCTGAACTACCTATTCATATTTCATTTTAGTTTCTTTGTGTTTGTCGTTATTGCTGTTGTTATTTTTTTTATTCATTTATCTCTACCTAAAAGGTCTATTTGGTTTAAAAACAGCGAACAGTGGCTTTGGTGCAAAGGTTTGGGTCAAAGGTCTGGCTCTTATTGACACCTTTACACGTAAACCAGAAATAAGGCATGTTGCTTAACAACTCTATCTGATTTCATTTGACAGCACCTCCCGTATTTGAAAACAACCGCGGAAATGTCCCCATACAGTTGTTTGGCCACCCCTTTTCAATCTCTAGCAGTGAAACTCGACATTGTATACATGGATCCACAAAGGTTGGTTACAATTACAGTAAATGGATTAGCAAACATTCAAATTTTAAGTAAAAAAAGAGGTCAATCGAGAAATGATAACGGAAACTGAGAGTCAAGAGGTTGAATTTAAGCTGGACTGATTAATTTTCTTTTTACGAGGATCAAAATGTTACAGGAGTTTTAAGTTATATGTTTCATAACCAATTTACCCAAAGAAATATGAGGGGGAAGGGTGTTGGCAATAGTAGTGAAGTCAGTAAAAATCACAGATGATATCGCAGCTGGGAGAAGAATGTAATTTCATTTTGCTCTCGTAGAACACACCTGTATTCAAATCTTCTGTACCAATTAGGATGCCCGAGGAAGTTATACCTGCAAGAGTGACTACGCTAATGTACACGACTATGCAAGAAAAACTAGAATACACTCGCAGAATTCGAGAAAATTGGATTACCCGGCAGTCATGCAGATTCGATGTATTCGGGTGTACAACGATTACTTCATCGACAAAGCAAAGTTCCTATCAGATAATAGCTTGGTGATGGCTAAGAAGGCTATTCTAAAAGAAATCAATACCAAATCGAAGAGTGACTTAGCAACTTTTTTTACCGTACCAGAGACGCTGTCATTAACGAAAAAGATGAACCAAGACCTAGAACTCCTGAGGAAACCTTCCTCTTTGTACATCAAGAGCCATGGCAACAACGAATGCTTGAAAGATATGGTAGTGAACTGGCCCTGATGGACGCCACGTACAAAACGACAAGGTACGCAATTCCACTTTTTTTCGTTTGTGTACATACCAACGAAGATCTCTTTGACGTCCCATATCTTTTGTTCAATTATAGGAGAAATACCGCGGTCTGTAAGATTTGCAAAGACGACGATGGAGAGGATTGGCTTGGGTGCGATAGCTGTTGCCAGGTTTTCCATGCAAGTTGTCTGGATGTGCCTTTCGCGGAGACGCTTACGCAACATTTCACCTGTCCTTAGGGTGGCTTCTTGTCGGTACAAGTAGAGTTTAAATTTTAAAGCTGACTATAACAATGAACCAGATGATGAACTTAATGTCATGTACAGACCTTAATTTGCAAGATAAGAAATACAGTCCTTGGTAGTCAATTAAGATAGATTTTCACGAGCGTCAATGGTGCAGAATCGTAACTTGATGGAGCCAACAGTGGACAACATCCCAGAATTCAAACTTTGTGATTTTTTTCTCGGCTTAAACGCTAAGTCAGTTGTTCAATTGAATAGGAAGAAAAACATTTCGAACGGAAAACAGAATTATTTGCACGTGTGGATCTTTTGAGAAAAGGTCTCCTAAACGAGTGGTCTTGATTATAAATATTTAAGGAATGGTAAATACATTAGCCTTAACATGGCTGTTTCTCGAAGCTCAGTGTTTTCCTACTTGCCTTTTTTCCACGTGAATTGGGGGCGATTGAATAGATATAATATGCAGTAAAAGAAGTTCAGCTGATAGAAATTTTAAATTTCTCATCTTAGGCTGTGGATACAAAATTCAAGTGAAAAGGAAGCCAACTGTGATTTGAGTGCTTTGAACAAGTCAAGATACGTTTTTTCGTCACACAACAAGTTACTTAACGTTAATATCATTCTTCTTGATGCCTTTCCCGGTGTCACCAATGCCTTTCCCGATGCCTCCGTTGGTTAATAGAGCATTAAAAGTATTGTTCCAGTTAAAGCTTGAGGAAAATTGCTTAAATTTTTAAGAAGCGAAGTGTAACTTGGTAACATATCGGCTTTATAACACGATTGTTTTCTGCAACTACAAAACGTACATTTAATTCTTCTTGGTACCTTTCGGATGCCACCGATGCCTTCATTGTTTATTAAAGCAGTAAAAGATATATGTACAATCAACACTTTTGAATTGCTTAACATTTTATTTAGCGAAGTAAACTGTTTACACTTCGGCTTTACAACACGATTGTTTCCTGATACTACAAATGATCTGTCTATATATGAAGTATTAAAGTTGTTTCACCGCTGACCACTCGTATTTGGGTCGTTTTTTCTATCCCCGCTCGTCGCCCGTGATGTAGTAACTCCCCCCCAAACCCAGGGTCATTTTGTCTCCATGTCAACGGCATGGTCGCCAAACAATGACATCTGGGAGAATGGATTGATTAATTCTTTTGATTGGTTGAGAGGAAAACAATGGACTCCACACAGGAAGTGTGGTTACGGAAGGAATTAATCGTGCCGGAAATAGAGCGTTAACAACGATAAATTTAAATTGTTTGTACTGTTGTTGTTGTTGTTTTTTTCCTTTTTGTGTGAAAGTTTCACTTGCAAACTGCCTGGCGATGCGTAAAATATATCCAACCAAAGCCGCTGCGCGCTCTAATGGCGGGAAGCTGTTCTTCTTGCAACATCTTTGGATTTGGACATTTTGATTGCTTGCTCAAGTTTAGGCGATCGAATCCTGCAAGAGGTCTGCAAGGGATCTGGCACCAATAATTAGTACCAGACCACCCGAAGACCTCTCGCCGTCTTGTGTTATTCAAGGTAGTCTACGTGTAGTCGGAACCCCCCCCCCCCTCCTCTCTAAGTTGCAACGGAGGCGTGCACCTCAAAAGCTATGTTCAAGGCCCCTAAACTTATGGAAGGGCGAAGTTACCCTCGTACATTGAACCCCCTTGTAAATTCGACAGTGAGATACTACTGTGTGTAGATTCAACTGAAAACCGTCCTTATTCCGGAAAAGAAAAGTTGAAGAGAGAATACATACTGCGAAGTACCAGCAAAGGGAAACTAGTCCCTCGTCATGTAACCAAAAGTTGAAGACGAACCAGACGAAAACTTAAGTCGCTTTTTCTCTACATTTAAAGTAATCAACACCCATCGTTATTCACAAACCACATCTAACATGTATTTTCAATCATCTTTGCCTCTGCACAGAAAATAAATACAATTCTCGAGAAAAAGACCTGTCTATTATTATTTATATAATAAGCTCAGTAATGCACGCATTCTGATTGGTTCTCACTTATGATGTATTGGAGGACAGACATATAGATAACGTCATCATTAAAACTTTTTTTCCGTATATTTTAATTCTTTATTATATAAAAAAATAGATTCCAAGTTGCCGTGCCCACATTTTGACGTCCTCTGTGATCTATTACTGAACAGACGCACGGCAACTTGGAATCTATTTGTTAAATGTCACATGAACCTTACCCACCTTCCTGCACAAGGGGGCCCAAAAACAAACAAAATAAATTATCATAATTTTATCTTCACAAAACACGCGGAAAAGACACGACACATACATACAGATATACGTAATTCTTCCCAAAAAGGCTTTTTAGAAGAAAGGTACATGGTACAATTAGAATGTCCATAATACATATAAATATAAACAATTGAAGTCAAATTAAGGAGTAATTAATATTACATCGAATTCATTATTATTATTTTTAGCAGGACTTTTAGGACGCTACATTTTTATTTAGAGAAAAGATATTGAATATTGCATTTTATTTATTACTACTATTTAATGTTTTTATCGTTGTTGGTTCATGTTGAAACCGTGGCAGATTTTAAAGAGGAATTAGTGAAAAGATGTTAAATATTGGTAGTGATTGCTAATAGTAATAGAAATAATAATTAGTAGAGAAACATTTTCGTGGATTATAGTTCAAGAGATATTGAGACATTATGATTTTTTCTTTTCTTTCTAACAGATGTTAAGGTACAAATTTAATTCTTTTTAAGTGAAGCACTGTACATAGGTCTTTTTTATGAGTATTGAATAAAGTTTTCCATTATTATTGTCATATTACATCGAATTAGCAAAATGTATAATTAGCAAAAAGTCTCTAAAATCTTGCAAATGAAACAGTTCTCCTGATGGTTTAAGGAGCAATACATAATGAAGAAAATTTTTAGCCCAATTCTCTTTTCTACTTTCTGTTGCGACAGAAGCGCTGATTATTTAAAGGGAAAAAACGCCCATTATTAAAACGCACATGCCAAAAAATAAACTGCTTTTATTGACATGGTCATTTTTATTATTTCGTAAACAAACTCCCTCCCCTACCCCCTTAGGAAATAATAATTAACACGCCCTTCCCCCACAATGAAGCCTGCGATACAAACCACCACTTCATCTGACCGTGATAACCTTGCGTTACTCGCCTGCGCAGTAGCTGAAAAGTACTCTGACATTTTACGCAACCAACCATAACCTACACCGCAACATTACTAAATTAACACTCTTGTGACAAAAATACTGTTTGATGTAGGAGCTAACTTAACAGACGAAATTGTTCAATTGCCTACAAGTTCCAAGATCGCATCAGTTGTTTTCAGGGAAAGCAAAATCAAAGCTTACTACTTGAACCGATCCTCAACGATACAAAGCAGTTTCATCAGGGACAAAATTCTTCGCTGTTGACACGCAATCTGCTTAACGCTCTGCAGACTTAAAAGAAATGGTAATTAGTTTTGTTTACAATACAAAATTTAAAGTTAAAAACGATATATTCCAGATTGGACTGAAACTTGAAAACTTAAATAACCTTTTCTAATTGTAATTTCAACTATAATCCAAAAGGCCGACACTTTCTTTATGGTTTGGCTGCAATCAGTACGCAGTAATAATCTCCTTCATCAGTATAAACTGTCAACGGTTTAGAATTTTCTCCGCTTGTGTACTGAGTACAAAACCTCGATACCTTATCTCTCGTGGCTAGCTCTGAAACAAACCTGCCTTGATTAGTTGCCAAGATAAACGAGCACAAGCTTTCAACATTTTCGAACTCAAGATCCTCCATTTTGACGTCAACACTTTTTATGATTTCAAATCCTGCAGCCGAACACATCTCTTCCATGTTTGCCCTTCTCTCGTACCAACGTTTGCTTAGCATACGTTCCATGCTTTCTGAGTTTTGAAGTTCACCATAAATTTTATGTTCGATGGAATGTAAGCGATCGGCGTAAGTCAGGACAATTTTCCCTGCTGGTTTCAAGCTCCAAAACATGTTCTTGAATGCTTCTTCTTTATCCTTAATCCAGTGAAACACAAAGTTGGAGAAGACGATGTCGTAAGTCTCCAAGCCCATTCCTGGGAAGCTGGCAGAGCTTCCTTCTTGAAATGCAAGATTTTTGACTTCCCTGTGTGATTCTCGCGCCACTTCTACTCGATGACTGTCGGGATCAACGGCTACGACTCTTCCATCTTGTCCTACGAGCTCGGAAAGATACGCAGACAATTCTCCAGTCCCGCAGCCCAAATCTAGGATAACATGTCCTCGATGAATCTCTATATCGTCAATCAGTATTTTTCCATGCTCTCTTTGATAAACCGACACTTGCTGGTAACTCTTTGCAACATTTTTGGAACTGGACATTTTGATTACTTACCCAAGTTTAGGCGACCGAATCGTAGTAAAGCGTGCCCGTGTGAGATTCGCAAGGGACTTGGCACTAATGATTGGTGTTGACATGATGTTCAACCATCTATGCCACTGCACAGAAAATAAATGCAATTCTCAAGAAAAAGACCTGTCGATTATTATATTTCACATGAACCTAACCCACCTACCCGCACAAGGGGGCCCAAAAACAAACAAAATAAATTATCATAATTTTAACTTAAGAACACGCGGAAAAGACACGACACATACAGACAGGTACACGTAATTCTTCCCAAAAAGGCTTTTTAGAAGAAAGATACATAGTACTGTTAGAATGTAAATACATAAATATAAAAAGTAAAAAATTTGAAGTCAAATAAAAAGGTAATTAATGTTTTATTGAATAAGCAAAATATATAACTAATAAAAATTATAGGCATTATTGTAAATGAAACAGCTCTCCTAATTATTTAATGAACAAAATTAATGAAAAAAAATTTTAGCCCTGATTATTAAAAAAAAAATGCCCGCTAATAAAACGCATACGCTACAAAATATGCTGCCTTTATTGACATAGTCATTTCTGTTATTTCGCAAATAACCTCCCTTCCCTACCCCCTTAGGAAATTAAAATTAACACGCCCTTCCCTTACTATGAAGCCTGCTAAACAAACCAACATTTTATCTGACCATAATAACCCTGCGTTACCCGCCTGCGCAGTTGTTGAAAAGTACTCTGACATTTTGCGCAGTCAACCATAACCTACACCACAACATGACCTAATTAACACTCTGTGACAGATATGAACTAGGTTAACACAAATATGACACAAATATGAACTAGGTTAACAGAGGAAAACGTTTAAGTTACTAAATCACAAATGCCACCGAGATCGCATCAGTTGTTTTCAGGGAAAGCAAAATCAAAGCTTACTACTTGAACCGATTCTTAACGATACAAAGCGGTTCCATCCGAGACAAAAATTCTTTATTATTGACACGCAATCTGCTTAGCGTTATGAAACTACAAACTTTAAGGTTAAAAACGACAAGTTCCGGATTCGAATGGAACCCAAATACTTAAACAACCTTCTCTAATTGCAATTTCAATTACAATCTAAAAGGTCGACGCTTTCTTTATGGTTTGGCTGCAATCAATACGGAGTAATAATCTCCTTCATCAGCATATAACGTCAACGGTTTAGAGTTTTCCCCGCTTGTGTACTGAGCACAAAACCTCGATACCTTATCTCTCGTGGCTAGCTCTGAAACAAACCTGCCTTGATGAGTTGCTGCGATAAATGAGCACATACTTTCAACATTTTCGAACTCAAAATCTTTCATCTTGACGTCGAAGCTTTTCACGATCTCGAATCTCGCAGCCGAACACATGCCCTCAACTTTTGACCTTCTCTCGCAATAGACTTTGCTTAGCATACGTTCCATGCTTTCTGAGTTTTGAAGTTCACGATAAATTTTATGGAAGATGGAAGCTAAGCGATCGCCGTAAGTCAGGACAATTTTCCCTGCTGGTTTCAGGCTCCGAAACATGTTCTTGAATGCCTCTTCTTTATCTTCAATCCAGTGCAACACAAAGTTGGAGAAGACGATGTCGTAAGTCTCCGAGCCCATTCCTGGGAAGCTGGCAGAGCTTCCTTCTTGAAATGTGAGATTTTTGACTTCCCTATGTGATTCTCGCGCCACTTCTACTCGATAACTGTCGGGATCAACGGCAACGACTCTTCCATCTTGTCCTACGAGCTCGGAAAGATACGCAGACAATTCTCCAGTGCCGCAGCCCAAATCTAGGATAACTTGTCCGCGATGAATCTGTACATCGTCGATCAGTTTTTTTCCTTCCTCTCTTTGAAAAAGCGACGCATGCTGGTAACTCTTTGCTACATCTTTGGATTTGGACATTTTTGTTACCTCCTCAAGTTTACGCGACTGAGTCTTGGTAAAGCGTGCCTATGAGAGGTCTTCAAGGGATCTGGCACTAATAAATATTGTCAGACCACCTAAAGAGCTCTCGCCGTCTTCTGTTGTTCAAGGCACCTAAAGTTATTCAATGAGGGCTTGCTCAAAGGCTATCAATTCGAGAGGGTTTTTGGTGGCAGCGGCTCTTCCCTAATCTGAATTTTTCGCTAACTTGTTTGAAAATGTATTTTCTATATTCACGATGCTATGACAGAGGCAGTAGAGTCTTCTGTGCGATTTCTTGCCCAAGTAAATCAGGTATCAGGTCCGACTCAGGCCCTCAAGTGGTGGAAGCGAGGAAAAGAGCGACCGTGCTATTGTTTACTGTGGGTATGATTGTCAAGGAAACCGTCACGGAACGACAACACTTTCGAAAGAGTAATTATTCCTTGCTTCAAGTTCACGATAAATTCAGATATTCAGATAAATTGACTGTGATCACAATCCAACTTCATAAAAGTTTATACAATGGATAGCAAAGTGTTTCCATTTTTTCGTGTTTCCACGCGATTTAATAAATCATTCGTATTTCTTGGGTATGACTATAAGCAGTTAAAATTCTTTTCGCGGGTTCTTCCGCATCGTTTTTAGGCGGCTCCGCTAAGTTTATTGTTTGCTCTCTTCCCTCTTCCTCAGCAAGGCAGGTAATTAGTCTCTCATAAAGAGACTTAACCCTTTAATCCAAAGAGAGACTAGCATCTAATTTCTCCACACAATATCACCCCTGGATCACACATTAAGGTCATGAGAATAAAGGAAATGATCACCAACGAAAAAAGCTTTGATCAGTTTACAAATTCTCCTTGTCAGCACCTTAGGAAATGTATATAGAACAGTATGGAGAATATGCTTACTGATGTTAGGGTGTGAAGGGCTAATGAGGCGGAATTACACAACTTTTCTGGAAACAGCTGTATTTGTTATGCCCTAATTTTCGTTTGTACAACAAAAGCTATTGTAATTCTCTACCTAGTCTGCTATCAGCGGAACAACATGACCGACCGGCAATTCGTATGTGATAGTAAAGAAAAAACCACAAACAATCCTTATAAAACGACAGTGAGATACTACTGTGTGTAGATTCAACTGGAAACCGTCGTTATTCCGGAAAAGAAAAGTTGAAGGGAGAATGCATACTGCAAAGTACCAGCAAAGGGAAACTAGTCCCTCGTCATGTAACCAAAGGAAAAGACGAATCAGGAAAAAAATTTAGTCGCTTTTTCTCTATATTTGATGTAATCAACACCCATCTTTATTCACAAACTACATATAATATGTATGTTCAACCATCTTTGCCACTGCACAGAAAATATATACAATTCCCAAGAAAAACAGCTGTCCATTATTATTTTTCACATGAACCTAACCCACCTTACTGCACAGGGAACCCAAAAACAAAGAAAAGAATTTATCATAATTTAAACTTCACAAAACATGCGGAAGACTCGGCACATACATACAGGTATACTTAATTCTTCCCAAAAGAATTTTGGGAAAAATTAAATATTTATTTATTCCTTTATTTATTCCTTTACTTTATTCCTTTCAGAATAAAGGTACATAGTACAATTAGAATGTACGCAGATACGTATAAATATAAACAATTGAAGTCAAATTAAGGAGTAATTAATATTACATCGAATTAGCAAAATGTATAATTAACAAAAAGTCTCCACAATCTTGCAAATGAAACAGATTTCCTAATGGTTTAAGGAGCAATACATAATGAAGAAAATTTTAGCCCAATTCCCTTTTCTACGTTCTGTTGCAACAGAAGCACTGATTATTTAAAAGGGGAAAAAACGCATATGCCACAAAATATACTGCTTTTATTGACACGGTCGTTTCTGTTATTTCGTTAACAAACTCCCTCCCCTACCCCCTTAAGAAATAATAATTAACACGCCCTTACCCCACAATGAAGCCTGCTAAACGAACTACCACTTCATCTGACCGTGACAACCTTGTGTTACGCGCCTGCGCAGTAGCTGAAAAGTACTCTGACATTTCACGCAACCAACCATAACCTACACCGCAACATGACTAAATCAACACTCTGTGACAAAAATATTGTCTGATGTAAGAACTAACTAAACTGACGACATCGTTTAATTGCCTACAAGTAGCGAGATCGCACCAGTTGTTTTCAGAGAAAGCAAAATCAAAGCTTACTGCTTGAACCGATCCTCATCGATACAAAGCAGTTCCATCAGGGACAAAAATTCTTCGCTGTTGACACGCAATCTGCTTAGCGCTCCGCAGACTTAAAAGAAATGGTAATAAGTTTTGTTTACACCACAAAATTAAAGTTAAAAACGACATATTCCAGATTGGACTGAAATTTTAAACAACCTTTTCTAATTGCAATTTCAATTATAATCTAAAAGGCCGTCTCCTTCTCTATGGTTTGGATGCAATCAACACGTAGAAATAATCTTCATCCATGAAAAACGTTAACGGTTTAGAATTTTCCCCGCTTGTATACTGGGCACAAAACCTCGATATCTTATCTCTCGTGGCTAGCTCTGAAACAAACCTGCCTTGATTGGTTGCCGAGATAACTGAGCACAGGCTTTCAACATCTTCGAACTCAAGATCCTCCATTTTGACGTCGACACTTTTTACAATTTCGAACCCCGCAGCCGAACATATCTCTTCGATTTTTGACCTTCTCTCGAAATAGAGTTTGCTTAGCATACGCTCCATGCTTTCTGAGTTTTGAAGTTCTCGATAAATTTTATCGATGATGGAAAGTAAGCGATCGCCGTAACTCACGACAATTTTCCCTGCTGGTTTCAGACTCCGAAATACGTTCTTAAAAGCTTCTTCTTTATCCTGAATCCAGTGCAACACAAAGTTGGAGAAGACCATGTCGTAAGTCTCCGAGCCCATTCCTGGGAAGCTGGCAGAGCTTCCTTCATGAAATGCGAGATTTTTGACTTCCCTATGTGATTCTCGCGCCACTTCTACTCGATAACTGTCGGGATCAACGGCAACGACTCTTCCATCTTGTCCTACGAGCTCGGAAAGATACGCAGACAATTCTCCAGTGCCGCAGCCCAAATCTAGGATAACTTGTCCGCGATGAATCTGTACATCGTCGATCAGTTTTTTTCCATGCTCTCTTTGAATAAGCGACAATTGCTGATAACTCTTTGCAACATGTTTGGAATTGGACATTCTGATCACTTGCTCAAGCGACCGAATCTGGGTAAAGCGTGCCTGTGAGACGTCCGCAAGGGATCTGGCACTAATAAATAGTGCCAGACCACCTGAAGACCTCTGGCTGTCTTTTGTCAAGACCCCAAAGCCAGGGTCAATTTGGCTCCTTGTCAGCGGCATGGTCGCCAAATAATGACCTCTGGGAGAATGGATTAATTCTACTTTTTTTATTGCGTGGTTGATAGGAAAACGATGGACTCCACACAGTATGAGTGATTTACGCAAGGAATCAATCGAGCCGGAAATAGAGCGTTTTTTCTACGGTTGTTATTGCTGTTTTTTTTTCACTTGTTAACTACCAAGCGATGCGTGAAAGATATCCAACCAAAGCCGTTGCGTGCTCCAGTGGCGGAAAGCTGTTCTTCACAGAACGATGGATTGCTGCCGTTGTTGTTGAAGACGCACAAGTAGAAATAAATCATTATATTAATGTTTTGAATAAAAAGCAGAAAAGAAGGTATTGTAGAGGCCGTGCAAGCGTAAGGAAATGTACCAGTGTAAAAGAGTTTGGCAACGACTCTTCCATCTTGTCGGACGAGCTCGGACAGATACGCAGACAATTCTCCTGTGCCACAGCCCAAATCTAGGATAACATGACCGCGATGAATCTCTACATCGTCGATCAGTTTTTTTCCTTCCTCTCTTTGAAAAAGCGACACTTGCTTGCAACATCTTTGGATTTGGACATTTTTGTTAATTGCTCAAGCTTAGGCGACCGAATCTTGGTAAAGCGTGCCCGTGATATGTCTGCAAGGGATCAGTAACCAGTAATTAGTGCCAGACCACCTGAAGACCTCTCGCCGTCTTGTTTTGTTCAAGGCCCCCAAACTTATTCAAGGGCGAAGTTGCGCTTGTACATTGGACCCCCTTATAACGAAGGCTTGCTTAGCTTAGGTCCTTTTGGGCCATCTCTTTTAACCAATGAGGTCCTTTTGGGTCATCCCTTTTAACCACGACCCTCTTCATATGACTGTGAGAACCCTGCGTTAGCCGCCTGCGCAGTAGTTGAAAAGTATTCCGACATTTTGCGCAATCAACCATGACCTATACCGCAACGTGACTAAATTAACACTCTGTGACACAAAATATTGTTTGCTGTAAGAACTTGGTTCAAAGAGGAAAATGTTCAATTTCCTGCGTCATAAATGCTACCGAGATCGCATCATCACAAAAGATATGATAGTAAGCCTTGTTTACACTACAAAGTTTAAAGTTAAAAACGACATATTCTAGATTCGACTGGAACCCGAATACTTAAACAACCTTCCGTAATTACAATTTTCATTATAATCTAAAAGATCGTCACCTTCTTTACGGTTTGTCTGCAATCAATACGCAGTAATAATCTCCTTTATCAGTATAGGCCGTCAACGGTTTAGAATTTCAAACTTGAACTTAGCTGAAAAGTTTTCTGACATTTTGCGCAATCAATCATAACCTACACCGCAACATGACTAAATTAACTCTCTGTGACACAAAATGTTGTCTGCTGTAACAACTAACTTAACAGAGGAAAATGTTCAATTGCATGCGGCATAAACGCTTGTACCGAGATCACATCGGTTGTTTTCAGGGAAAGCAAAATCAAAGCTTACAACTTGGACCGATTCTCAACGATACAAAGCAGTTCCATCTGGAACAAAAATACTTTGCTGTTGACACGCAATCTGCTCGGCGCTCTGCAGAATTAAAAGAAATGGTACTAAGTTTTGTTAACACGACAAAATTTAAAATTGAAGACGACGCATTCCAGATTCGACCAGAACCCAAACACTTGAACAACCTTCTTTAATTGCAATTTTAATTACAATCTAAAAGGCCGACACTTTCTTTATGGTTTGGCTGCAATCAATACGCAATAATAATCTCCTTCATCAGTATAAACCGTCAACGGTTTAGAGTTTCCCCGCTTGTGTACTTAGCACAAAACCTCGATACCTTATCTTTCGTGGCTAGCTCTGAAACAAACCTGCCTTGATTACTTGCCGAGAAAAATAAGCACATACTTTCAACATTTTCGAACTCAAAATCTTTCATCTTGACGTCGATACTTTTCACGATGTCGAATCCCGCAGCCGAACACGTGCCCTCAATATTTGACTTTCTCTCGAAGTAAAGTTTGCTTAGCAACCGTTCCATGCTTTCTGAGTTTTGAAGTTCTCTATAAGTTTTATGGTAGATGGAAGCTGAGTGATCGGAGTAAGTCAAGACAATTTTCCCTGCTGGTTTCAGGCTCCGAAACATGTTCTTGAATGCTTCTTCTTTATCCTGAATCCAGTGCAACACAAAGTTGGAAAATACGACGTCGTAAGTCTCCGAGCCCACTCCTGGGAAGCTGGCAGAGCTTCCTTCATGAAATTCGAGATTTTTGACTTGCCTGTGTGATTCTCGCGCCACTTCTACCCGATAACTGTCGGGATCGACGGCAACGACTCTTCCATCTTGTCCTACGAGCTCGGAAAGATACGCAGACAATTCTCCAGTGCCGCAGCCCAAATCTAGGATAACATGTCCGCGATGAATCTCTAGATCATCGATCAGTTTTTTCCCTTCCTCTCTTTGAAAAAGCGACACTTGCTGGTAATTCTTTGCAACATCTTTGGATTTAGACATTTTTATTACTTGCTTTAGTTTAGGCCATCGAATCCCGCGAGAGGTCTGCAAAAGATCTGGCACCAATAATTAGTACCAGACCTCTCGAAGACCTCTCGCCGTCTTGTGTTGTTCAAGATAGCCTATGTATAGCCATACCCTCCCCCCCTCCCAAGGTGGCGAGAACCTTGGGGGGAAGGGTACGTCTTCACTTAGGCTATTTCCAAGGCCCCTTAACTTATGCAAGGACGAAGTTAGGCTCGCGCATTGGACCCCCTTATAATAAGGGCTTGCTCAAATGCTATTAATTTGAGAGGGTTCTTGGTGTCAGTAGTTCTTTCCTAATCTGAATTTTTCGTTAACTTGTTTGAAAATGGATTTTCTATTTTCACGATGCTATGACAGAAGAAATGGAGTCTTCTGTGCGATTTCTAGCCCTAGTAAGTCAGGTATCAGGCCCGACTCAGGCCCTCAGGTGGTGGAAGCGAGCGAAAGAGCGAACGCACTATTGTTGACTGTGGGCATGACTGTCAAGGAAACGGCCACGGAATGAGAACGCTTTCGAAGGAGTAATTATTCCTTGCTCCAAGTTCACGATAAATGTGGAACTCCTCCTTTTACTTAAGGTTAAAAAAATTACAGTGTAAAGCGTAGTTTTTTTTTTAATTCAAAAAGGAGAGATAAAAGCATGCAATTAGTTAAGTCCTCCAACCTCGCCCGAGCAATTCAAAACACGGAAGTTATTTGTGAGGACTTGAACGATCACATTGAGTGGAAGAATGCAAACGAATCTTCTTCCTCGACAGACCGCTGACCATCAATGTGTAAACCCCCTTAGAAAATAAAAATTAACACGCCCTTCCCTTACAATGAAGCCTGCTAAACAAAGCGCCACTTCAACTGACCGTGATTGAAAAGTACTCTAACATTTTGCGCAATCAACCATAACCTACACCGCAACATTACTAAATTTAAATTCTGTGACGCAAATATTATCTGCTGTAACAACTAACCTAACGGAGGAAAATGTTCAATTTACTGCGTCATAAATGCTATCGAGATCATATCAGTTATTTTCAGGGAAAACAAAACCAAAGCTTACTACTTGAACTGATTCTAAGCGTTACAAAGCGGTTTCGTCACGAACAAAAATGTTTTGTTGTTAACACGCAATCTGCTTGGTGCTCTGCAGACTTAAAAGAAATGGTAATAAGTTTTGTTTCAGTACACTACAAAATTTAAAGCTAAAAACGACATATTCCAGATTCGAATGGAACCCGAACACTTAAACAACGTTCTCTAATTGCAATTTTAATTACAATCTAAAAGGCCGACACTTTCTTTATGGTTTGGCTGCAATCAGTACGCAGTAATAATCTCCTTCATCAGTATATAGCGTCAACGGTTTAGAATTTTCCCCGCCTGTGTACTGAGCACAAAAACTCGACACCTTATCTCTCGTGGCTAGCTCTGAAACAAACCTGCCTTGATTGGTTGCCGAGAAAAATGAGCACATACTTTCAACATTTTCGAACTCAAGATCCTCCATTCTGACGTCCACACTTTTTACAATTTCGAATCCCGCAGCCAAACACATGCTCTCAATTTTTGACCTTCTCTCGAAATAACATTTGCTTAGCATAAGTTCCATGCTTTCTGAGCTTTGAAGTTCACGATAAATTTTACTGAAGATGGAAGCTAAGCGGTCGGCGTAACTCACGGCAATTTTCCCTGCTGGTTTCAGGCTCCGAAACATGTTCTTGAATACTTCTTCTTTATCCTGAATCCAGTGAAACACAAAGTTGGCAAAGACGATGTCATAAGTCTCCGAGCCCATTCCTGGGAAGCTGGCAGAGCTTCCTTCTTGAAATGTGAGATTTTTGACTTCCCTATGTGATTCTCGCGCCACTTCTAATCGATAACTGTCGGGATCGACGGCAACGACTCTTCCATCTTGTCCTGCGAGCTCGGAAAGATACGCAGACAATTCTCCAGTACCGCAGCCCAAATCTAGGATAACATATCCGCGATAAATCTGTACATCGTCGATCAGTTTTTTTCCTTCCTCTCTTTGAAAAAGCGACACATGCTGGTAACTCTTTGCAACATCTTTGGATTTGGACATTTTAAATACTTGCTCTAGCTTAGGCGACCGAATCTTGGTAAAGCGTGCCCGTGACAAGTCTGCTAGGGATCTGGCACTAATAATTAGTGCCAAACCACCTGAAGACCTCTCGCCGTCTTGTGTTGTTCAAGGCCCGTAAAGTTATTCACTTGTGAAGTTACGCTTGCACATTGCATCCAAATATAATGAGGGCTTGCTCAAATGCTATCAATTTGACAGGATTGGAGCAACTTCAGAATACCCCGCAACTCATTTACATGTCATTGAATAAGAATAGAGTCTATTGTGTTATGCCTCGATCTTCAAAGCCCCCCGACACATGTAAGTGAGGCGGACCAAAGTTGCGGGGTATTCTGAAGTTTAGCCACAGGATTTTCGGTGTTAGTAGTTCTTTCCTGCTATGACAGGCCAGGGGTAATAGAGTCTTCTGTGCTATTTCTAGGCCTGGTAAGTCAGGTATCAGGCCCGACTCAGGCCCTCGGGTGGTGGAAGCGAGCGAAAGAGCGAACTCACAATTGTTGATTGTGGGCATGATTGTCAAGGAAATGGCCACGGAATGAGAACACTTTCGAAGGAGTAATTATTCCTTGCTCCAAGTTTACGATAAATGTTGCACTCCTCCCTTTACTTAGTGTTAAATACTAAACACTGTGAACAGAGTAACTGGAATACCTGGATGGTACTGGATCCTTGAGATCAAGTGTAGTGATACTACGGGTGTCAGACTAGGGGCATACAGCTATTTCAAAAAAGGTTGTCATCTACTACTTGTGGGCGCACTGCTTGAAAATGGACATGACCTCTAAATTCCAATTTTCTTTTCAGTTTCAACAGTATTATTCCAGATCTTTCAGGGGGACGTGGTAATATATTGCATGTTTGATCACATTCAACTGGTATATTACAGATTGCACCTTTACTCTTTCTTTGTTGACCTTTGGGCACAACTATTGATTTTTCAAACACTATTCTCTGTTCAAGCTTCTCTAGAATGGACAACTCTGGTGGCAGTTCATCAACATGTA